GAAATAGGTAAAATATGCTAGTTATGTTCCCCAGCCTCCCTTTGCCCCATAAAATACATTACTCATATGTGCATAAATTCAATGGAATTTTTATAAAAAATATATACCGTATTTTACATCCAAAAAGATAAATAAACTAATTTAATGTTTAATTAATCAAGGAACGTCGAGCACAACTTGTCTTTGTTGCACTCGTAGAAGTACCACTTCCAGCACTAGCCTTAATCTTGTCTGTGCTGGTCTGGATAATACTCACTGTTGTGGGGTCAGGCCTAACGCTACACCAATGTCCACAGTAAGTTCACCTTTCTCAAAACGGTTGAAAACCTCCATTTTCTTAGTAAGGCTAATGGTCTTGCATTGTGCTTCTTCACAACACTAGCATCACTAACATTTGATGGGTGCTTGGGAGCCATTTTGAATGGTTTCAGTACAGTATTTATAGCAAAAACACTTAAGTGCACACATACGCTGAGGAAGCTTAACAAAGATTGGGGAGAAAATGCTTGGGGACGCTGTGATGCTCCGCGAGAGAGAGTAGCACACCAAGATGAGAGAGGGTGGCGTGCCATACAAAGTACATAGTCCATGTTGGGTGACAACGTTATAACGAATCGGCCGGGTTGTAAAACAAAGTTGTCGTTATCATGGGTATATAAAGAGTAGCAATGTTATAACGAAACAACGTTAAGCGAGGACTGGGTGTACAGTCAGTTCTGCTATAACGCGATAGTTGTGTGCTTGTAAAACATCGTGTTATAGAAATTCGTGTAATAGAAATAACATGGCTTATGGAGAAAATAGGGTTAGGTGCAGATTACTACTCGAAATCGAAAAAATTTTAGTAGTTAACCTAACACAAAGGTTAGCACAGTCTAAATAAATGTTACTTTCATATCTAATAATGAAATCATACAGTAAATGTAACACTTTACCGTGAAGAAATATGAATATAACTTGATGGGGGAGAAGGGTGATTTTGAGGTTGATAACATCGAGCTTCTCTTCAAGTGTTATAGCCTTTCTTTTACGATCATCACCGGGAATGCGATCACCAGAACGCTTCTTGGAGATATTCTTCTTTACCATATTCACAGTTAATACCACAAAATTGGAGAAATAGTAAGCAAAAATTGCGTTACAGCAAACAAGCGTTCGCGTTATACAAATATCGTTCCTCTATTCATAAATCGCGTTAGAGCCAATTTGCATTGTCAAAACACGCGTTATAGCAGAACTCACTGTACTGTATAAGTTTAGCCGAGATACTAGATATGTTAAAATGATATAAAAGGGTGAAGGGTCTGTGGATATTATATGAAGCAAGCAATATTTTGCCAAGTGGATCCATAAACAGAATGAAGCATTAAAATAAAAAGAATGTGAAAAATGCATATTACCCCTACATAAAGATGTACAGTACAGTATAATGAGAAAAAGAAAGCAGCTGTGCAAGGTTCTTTCGACACTTTTATTATTTGAAGGCCTAAACCATCAACTTTAGGTACAGCTACACCATCAATTTCAGGTTCAACTACACCATCAAATTTAGTATTGGCAGCAGCTTCAGCAATAGCTACAGGTTCAGTGACAGCTTCAGCAACAGCTTCAGGTTCAGTAACAGCTGTTCAGTAACAGCTATGACATTTTTATGGAAAGCTATAGCTTCAGCCAGAGTTGAACCTATAGCTTCAGCCAGAGTTGAACCTACAGCTTCAGCCAGAGTTGAACCTATAGCTTCAGCCAGAGTTGAACCTACAACTTCAGCCAGAGTTGAACCTACAGCTTCAGCCAGGGTTGAACCTGATGGCTTCGTCATCCGAGTAAAAACTCACACAACAACATTGGCTGTCCTTATATTTTCGACTCTACCACCACTGGTGAGTAGAATTTTTATTTTACATTCATCAGTGAAGAGGAGGAAGAAGGTGCGGCAGTCTCCGAAGAACACAATTTAAGTCATAGTGATATTAAGGGTGCCATGGAGTGTGCAGAGAAGATGAAGTCGTTCCTTTCCCGCGACAATGACGATGACCGCTATGAAGTCTTCCATAACCGGCTGGTGCAGGCTATGGAGCCGTACATCAAGGTGTATCACGACAACATCAACGCCAGCCGTCAGCAAAGCATAACAGATTTCTTCACCCGCAACCCACCACAGCCAGCCCAAGCCAGTGATAGTGACAGTGAAGTTGACTTTGAGGGATTTGTCAGGGAAGCCCTGACAACTGTAAGTGACAGTGATGATGATTCACCTAGTAATGGTGATTCACCTGAGGGCCAGTAATCTGCCCTCTGCCTCGGAACCAGCCTCCATCCCCGTATGCCGACCCATCTCTTCTACTACCGTAAGTGTTCCACATAATTTTTAGTTTTCTAACCTTACCTTTATTTTTCCTATGTTAACCTTTATCTTTCCTAACCTAACCTCTTCTATATTACTTGTTTTTTCATACCATCATAAAGTTAAGATAAAATTTTTACTGCAACATAGTTATGTGTCGTCAAAAAGTGGAGTTTGGGGATCGGCCTGGACTCCATTTCAATTAATCCCATATGTTATGTTGTTCACTTTACGCGTTCCTCACTTTCCGCGGTACCCTCCGGGTTACATTAACCGCGTAAAGTGAGGGTTAACTGTATATATATCTTGATAAAATCACACGGGAAAAGGGAAACAATGGAGCACCTTAGCTTTCGTCTTTATTCAAGACATCTTCAGATGTCTTGAATAAAGACGAAAGCTAAGGTGCTCCGTTGTTTCCCTTTTCCCGTGTGATTTTATCAAGATTGATCTTATCCACGTTTTCATTGTGGATCTACATGATATATATATATATATATATATATATATACAGTCAACCCTCGCTTTACGCGGTCCCACATTCCGCGTTTCCACGTTTACGCGTTCAATTGTGGCATTACACTCTGTAGGTGCGCGTGATCCACGTATATGCTGATAACCACATAGGAAATGAGAAAACACGTAGCGGGCAAGATTATTGCCCGAGCCCTCCTAAACAGACTTATTCCTGAGGCAAAAAACTTCTTCCCAGAATCTCTTAGGTGGCTTTGGACCATCACGTGGCATCACTGACGTGATCTTTGCTGCCCCCCAGATACAGGAAAAGTGCAGAGAACAGCGTCGTGACCTGTACAGGATCTTCATCATATAACGTAAACTGTTGATCTACTTTCTCTATTCAGCCGGGATGGCACTGAAGTTATTTACAGGTGGTTCACTTGACTCTATAATCTCTTGTATCCATCCATCTGTTACTGGGGGAGGGTTAATGTATCAGTTAGGAAGGGAAATGGAAAGAGATATTTTCCAAGTCAAATTTATTCAGCAAAGACATGATATGAAGTCATATGTGCTCGTCCTATTTCTAACTAGAGATACCGTGGGGGAAAAGGAACCCACTATACACCCGTACGACTACAGAAAAAAAACACAATAAATACAAGTTACCACACCTCAGTACGACACTCGCAGGGCCATCCAAAAACCTCCACACTCCACTACATCCAATGCAAAAACTGTCCGTGTTTCCAACTCTGCTGCTAAGCACACATTCTGAGTGTCCAATCAGAGCCCGTTTAGGGAAGCTCTCTGCCGGACCCTCAGCCGGATTGGCTGCCCACCAAAATTCATCGCCATTGTGATGCAACTCCACGATGGCATAAATGGCAGTGTCCTTTACAATGGCACCCAGTCAAAATTCTTCCCCATCCAAACGGGGGTAAACGAAGGATGCATACTGGCACAAACTCTCTTTTCCATTTTCTTGTCTGCCTTCCTTGCTCGTGCCAATGCCAATTTACCCGGCAGGGTAGACGTCCAGTACCGGATGAAGGGACTTTTCAACATAAGGCGACTCCAAGCAGGAGGCAGGAACGAAGGTGTAGGCAGCTTCCATTACTATACTTTGGTATGAAGACGACCTCACCCTTGTGGCTCACATTGAACACGACTTACAGAAGATCCTGAACACGTGCGCAGATGCGTATGCACACTTCGGCCTTAAGGTGAATGTACGTAAGACTCAGATCTTCTTTCAACCCTGCCTCTGGTTCTACCACACCTCCACTATCCCTCCAGCTTAACGGTACTACCCTCTCTCATATTACCCACTTTCAGTATCTTGGCTCCCACCTGTCCACCACCTTGGACATCGATGAAGAGATTCAACATCGAATCAGATATGCATCTCAAGCCTTTGGCAGACTCCATACACATGTCTTCAGCTGCAGTGAGCTGAAATTATCTGCAAAGTTACATGTATATCGGACAGTGGTCCCACCCCACCCTGCTAAAAGGCAGCGAGACATGGGTCACATACAGGAGACACCTCAAGGCACTTGAAAACTTTCACCAACGTAGTCTACGTTCCATCCTCCGATTTCTCTGGGAAGACAAGAGAACAAATGCCGGTATTCTCGCTGACACCAACTGTAGAAACATCGAGGCTACCATTATACATGAACAACTACGTTGGACTGTCCATGTTACCCGTATGGACAACAGTCGACTGCCAAAGCAGCTACTTTACAGTCACCTAACGCATAGTAAATGTTATGTTGGCGGGCAACTGAAAAGGTATAAGGTTAGTCTTAAGACAAATCCTTTCACCTGGGAGACGTTCACTCCACACCGTAACGCTTGTAGGAGCACCCCATAAGAGGGTGTCCATACTTTTGAGTTAGCCCGACTGCATACCGAGGAAGACAAACGCCAACGCCGGAAAGACAGCATGGCAGTCGTTGATTTGGTGATCGTCCAATAATAATATAATTGTTGGTGCAGACATGGGTTGTTTAGTGTACACTCAACCCATAGGACAGTGTAAACAATTATCTGGTCTGTTAGGAGTTTCCAGATTGTCCGTGTCAGTGGCAGCTACGCTAAGCTGTTGACATTTTATAGCAAAGCGAAAACAACAGTACCAGGAGTGTCATTGTGGAGATAATTCTTTACAAGGATATAAGAAACGAAAATATGTTATTTGCAGTGCATATTATATTAACACAAGGTGTATTGAAATTACATATTAATACTAGAAATACATTAAATTTTATACTTGATAGAAGAACCTACCAAAATTATCTGCTCTGAAGAATTAGGTGACACAAAATGCTCTACCAGTTAATACAACAAATTATACATCAATTAGCATAATAGTTTAAACACGAAATGATGCAATACAATCAATGCCAGCTAACCAGCAAACGTTAGAGCTGACACACCAATTGCTACAACAGCTTCATACCAACTAATAATACACTCACATACCAACACATATAATAACTGATGCTCCACGAGTCCATAACAGTACTGTAATAATAATAATAACAATAATATATACCATAATACTGTAGCACCAGAATCAGTGTTTGTTTAAGTACTGGTTTTATCATCTTTCACTGTTTGCAAGTATTACGTTGATCATGTTTTACTGTTTGCAGTGTTACGCTGATCATATTTTACTGTTTGCAAGTGTTATGTTGATCATATTTCACTGTTTGCATGTGTTACGTTGATCGTATTTTAATTTTTACAAGTGTCACGTTCCAACAAAGACTGTTATATAACTAATTAGTGTCATTTCGGTAGTAATAGTGTCAACTGGCTGTAAGGTTGATTGAGAACATAACAGTGTTATTAGTGTGAGAAAGCTTCTAGAGACTGTGTAATAAGAGTGGATGTTCATGACATTGTGTTATTCATTCAGCAGATGACAAATTTCAAGAGGCAGAGTCAATAATTCTTTAAGAGCAGATTGTTTAAGCGTTTAGTTGTTTCATCACGTAAAAATGTAAAAACTCGACAAATTTCTTCAACAAATTTCGAAGATTTACAATGATATGGATCCATTGGTCATCTCAACAGGTCATACCGTTGTGTCGTTCTACTCTTCTTGTCCTCTCATAATTACTGACACTTTGTTCTTTAATCTTCTAGTGGAGACTTTTGTTAAGTTTCCAGAGGTGAAGATTAAGGAGTGTACGGACAGTCTTCCCCTGGTTCACAGTTGGCTTGATTTTCTGAATGATCATTAGAGCTTTTAGAATGTTTGTGGCCGGTAGGTCCTTTATGACCTTTATGGCCCTGAGGTCCTTTGGGGCCATGGGGTCCTTTGGAACCAGGGGGTCCTTTGGGACCTGGAGGTCCTTTAGGACCTGGAGGTCCTTCAGGTCCTGTGGGTCCATCAGGGCCAGGATAACCTGTAGGGCCCTTAGGACCAGGAGGACCTTTAGGGCCAGGAGAACCTTCAGGGCCAGGAGGACCTTCAGGGCCAGAGGGACCTTCAGGGCCAATAGGACCTTCAGGACCAGGAGAACCATCTGGACCAGGAGAACCATCTGGACCAGGAGAACCATCTGGGCCTGGAGAACCATCTGGGCCTGGAAGACCATCTGGGCCTGGAAGACCATCTGGACCAGGAGAACCATCTGGACCAGGAGAACCATCTGGACCAGGAGAACCATCTGGACCAGGAGAACCATCTGGACCAGGAGAACCATCTGGACCAGGAGAACCATCTGGACCAGGAGAACCATCTGGACCAGGAGAACCATCTGGACCAGTTGAACCATCTGGACCAGGAGAACCATTTGGACCAGGAGGACCATCTGGGCCGGGAGAACCTGGAGGACCCGAGGGATAACCGTGTTCTGTGGGTGCACTGATCTCACCTGTAAACGAATCAAGTAAAAATATCACATAAAGTTAAACTTGTTTCGTGGTCTCATTATTATGAGTACTAACTAAAAAAGTACGTAGTGACAATATTCTGTACAAGGAATGCAAATTTTTTGGGGGGTCTGTATCCCCTTTGAATTTCCTTGTTAAGTTTCCTGTAAGCTCCACTTCCTCTTATCATCTTTCTTCCTCTACCTATTTTCTTTAAAATTTAATTTGTCATCCACTTACTTTTAGCCTCGTCCCTCCTATGTCCTATAAGTTTTCCCCAGTCTCTAACATTATTTCTTTATAATTATTAAATTGTTGTCTGGTCCTTGTTCAACAAAGTTACCCTCTAGCAATACTGAAAATTTGCTTTCGGTTTCAATTTCATATTCTATCGTTGCCCCTGTTTTGAGCTTACCTAAATCCTATTATTGGGACATGGTCTAACCCACAATCTGCCCCTGGATAGGTCTTGGTTCGGGTTATTGAATTTTTTAATCTTTTCCGAATTAAAATAAAATCTATTTGATTCCTGACAGTGTTATTTGCATTGTCCAGGAGTGATACCCATGTATAGAGAAGCCTAGGATGTTGTTCGAACCATGTATTTGCAATTATCATCTTGATTTCCTTATAAAAGTAAACGCAAGAGAATACTCACAACATATTTGTCCAGTTGGACAAGATTTTCCTTTGTTTTTTTTGCATTTCTTCTTCCCTTTACGTACGCACAATCCACCCACATCAGTGCAACTCTTCGTCTTCCCCGTGCCTCCACCATACTTGCGATCTTCTCTCATTGCATTCACATTCATCTCTTTCAGGCTCCTTCTCTTCTTGATTTTATTTTTCCTCCATTCCTCCTTTCCTTCTATTCCTTTCATATTCTCTGTATGATATGGACACAAAGTAGTACCTTCAGCTGTGTATTATTATATTACTCTTATATTACTCCATTAATTATGTATCGTAAAGTATTACAGAACATGTAACACCATCTGTGAGGGAATTACTACACCACGTCAGGTCCCTCATAACACCATCTGTGAGGGAATTACGACACCACGTCAGGCCCCTCATAACACCATCTGTGAGGGAATTACTACACCATGCCAGGTCTCTCATAACACCATCTGTGAGGGAGTTACTACACTACATGTTTGCTGTTCAACACCTCAGCGCACAAGATCTACGTAACCTCCACTGTAAACATTAATCTGTGTGTTCACTGCATGTTCCTTTACCTTTCTCTAATGAAGGCTTTTGTTAAACCGCCAATGTATGTAATAAGTCATTTTTGTCTAATGTAAATTTTCAGCCTTCGGGCTGCAGAACTTTTTCAATAAACCGTTAATTATTATTATTATTATTATTATTATTATTATTACATTACTTTGCTGTCACTCGGAATCGAGTATGACGATCATCCACAATTATATGAGTTATTAAGGATGTCACCTTCGTTGGTGACCTCTAAAGTAACTTGAGAGGCCGATACAGGACCGGCAGGGTCGTCCACAGATATTGAACGTGTGGAGGACTGGCGCTTGTCTGTCTCAAAAAAGTCGGATTTGATGCCTTTCTTGAATGGTGCTCCTCCAAGCATTACGGTGTGGAGTAATCGTCTCCCAGGTGAGGGGGTCGATTTGGCACTTTTTCAGGTTTGTCTTAAGACTATCCTTATACCTTTTCTGTTGCGTGCCAGCGTTAAGTTTACTATTCGTTAGGCGACTATAAAGTAGCTGCTTTGGTAGTCTATTGTCGTCTATGCGGGTAACGTGGCCAGTCCAGCAGAGTTGTTTATCACACACACACACACACATATATATATATATATATATATATATATATATATATATATATATATATATATATATATATATATATATATATATATATATATATATATATATATATATATATATATATATATATATATATATATATATATATATATATATATATATATATATATATATATATATATATATATATATATATATATATATATATATATATATATATATATATATATATATATATATATATATATATATATATATATATATATATATATATATATATATATATATATATATATATATAAAATATATATATATATAGAGAGAGAGAGAGAGAGAGAGAGTTTTCCTGCAAATTTAAACAGCAGCACTAATGACCTATTTAGTCTCTTTTTTTCACAATGATCCGTCCATATATTTACCGTTGCCAGCATTGTTGGGGCAGCAGACTTGATCTTCCTCTTGGCAGACATGTTCAGCAGGTGTGACGTCACACTGGTCAGCGGGCACACAATTCCATCCTTCCCTGAGACAGTCACTCTCACCCTGCACCAATAATTAGTTAATATTAACACCAATTTCATTGCCCACACTCTAAGATGATATCATAAAAAAACGAAAAATAAGTACCTGACAGCTTTGCCGGTAATCCTTGGTCAAATTGCCTAACTGTTTACCATTGTGATTTAACTGCACTGTCTCGGTACATAGGAAACTGTGTATTCCCACGGCCTACCTGCACCGTATACCTACAATACATATATTTATGCTGCACTGTATAACTGCATAGTGTACATACGTGCTTATCCAATTGTAAACCCGTATGACATATTCACTGAAGATATTACCACCAAGTTATCGTGCGCCAAGGTACAATAATTATAATAAGATATCTTGTTCAAGGGATAAGTTAGAAGCCAGAGATGACTAACACAGAATGAAATGAGAACTACAGCATATACCTCGAGTAATTTATCCTTCGTCCAGTCAAGGTGGGAGGGGGTGATGCAGTAATTAGTGTGACTGTATCCGTCTGATTGCATTCATGAATTTTCTTTAAACCAAAAGTTTTTGTGCTTAGTAAAAACTTATAAAAGTTTATTCAGCCTTATCCCGCAACTAATGAGACTTGGTCAAATATGTGTGTATGGATTGTTGAAGAGCATACAGTATAGTGTATGCTCTGGTGTCTTCAGTAACTCATAGAACCAGGGGACAATCTCCTCCTCGGACCAAGTTCCTCCTCAGGCCAATCTCCTCCTCAGGCCAATCTCCTCATCAGACCAATCTCCTCATCAGACCAATCTTCTTCTGATACCAAGTTCCTCCTCAGACCAAGTTCCTCCTCAGACCAATCTCCTCCTCCAAACTCCAAGAAACACAATTCATGAATAAAATGTTCACTCATCCCAAAATGAGGAGAGATTTAACTTTTCTAAATCAGGGGCGTACAAAATATATTTATTATATTTGTTTACAGCAGAGAGCAGAAAGAAAAACGATTTTAGCTAAAGAAAGGAGGCGTGGTGAGGGAGGCGGCAGGGAGCACAACAGAGGGCAGGGGTGAAGGTGAGGGAGGTGGCAGGGAACACAACTGACCGCAGGGGTGTGGGTGAGGGAGGTGGCAGGGAACACAACTGACCGCAGGGGTGTGGGTGAGGGAGGTGGCAGGGATCACAACTGACCGCAGGGGTGTAGGTGAGGGAGGTGGCAGGGTGGCAGGGAACACAACTGACCAGGGGTGTGGGTGAGGGAGGTGGCAGGGAACACAACTGACCGCAGGGGTGTAGGTGAGGGAGGTGGCAGGGAACACAACTGACCGCAGGGGTGTAGGTGAGGGAGGTGGCAGGGAACACAACTGACCGCAGGGGTGTAGGTGAGGGAGGTGGCAGGGATCACAACTGACCGCAGGGGTGTAGGTGAGGGAGGTGGCAGGGATCACAACTGACCGCAGGGGTGTAAGTGAGGGAGGTGGCGTCTTTCTGAATAATCTTTATCTGTCGTGTTACTCGTTGGTGTAGTACAGTTCGTGATGTGTCTTTTATGTGGATCATATTTCACCAATTTTGTTAACGTCTATTATTTATATATTAGTTTTAATTAGTATTATTAATGAACAAGGGAATGAGTTCTGTACTCAAACTTTGAACAATTTCGCCTACCACTTCGTGTTGCCAATTTTTCTTATGCTGCAAGAATTCGTATGTTGCAGTAATGGTGGTAAGGAACGTCTTGTTCTAGAAGAGTGTTGTAGCAGTTTCCTTGTTTCAATTACTGACACAGTGGCCTAGGCGACCACTTACCACACACCTACCCGGACACAAGGAACCACAAGGTGAGGTTTCATTACACAAACGTAAATACTCTAGTATCAGTATACGTATCTGTACCGATGTAATCCCTTCTAAACCATCCACCAAGTCTTTAATCAAGGCTGGTGCATAAGTCTTTATTGAGGAATTATTTTTAAGTGAACATGAACGATAGGGGCGTCGTCTTAAAACTCAAAACCAGTAGAGCAGATGAGGAAGCTCCCAGACCCTCTGACCCCTTCAAGCTTGACCCACAGAAAACGATTATAAGAAAAAATCATAGAGATGGAACATATATATATATATAACACGAGGAGCAAACAACCACCTTGTGAAATATAACTTAAGTCAAGAAACAATCTCTTGTAACGAGAGACGCATCATCAAGTAAAATGTATCGATAGTACATAGCTACACGGAGGTGTTTCAGCATATCGAGACTTGGACGACAAACATTCCATAGACTCACTTGGACGGTTGAGGACAGAACTGCCGCCACCAGCAACAACAACAGTAGGCTCAACGTTCTCAACATCAGCACCATCTTCTGGGGATGACAGTCGAGTGTGTCCATACGCTGTCACTACGCCTTATATACAAAAATTCACACATATTGCACATGCGCAGTGTTGGTATAATATGGACAAGAAGGGTAAATGAACTTAGCGCTTGATGAATGTGACTGTTGTACCACCATAGTCGTGATTTATTGTGTATGATAAGGCCAGGTCGATGACTGCTATGTTCGTTTATAGGGAAAGAGAAAAGTGTGAGTGAGGTGGATATATTGCATAATTATGTATGAATTATTACTTTCAGACACTTGTCACCTTTTTGGTATTTCCTTAAAAAAAATATTAACTAAGGTAAATTGAAATCCGAATTTGGTACATGTGTGAAAAATATTTAAATCCTCCAGCTAATATTATAGTGATTGGAGTAAATGATTCCTATTTATCCTTAAAAGTAAATATTATTGTGTAACTGGAGCTTCAGTTCCTGGTCACCACAGGAAATATTTAGTAACTGTTAACAGTGTCACCGGTCCTTGGCGTCCACAGGGTAACTCTTTTAACAACTGTTCCCGTAATCTCCCTAGTAAAGAAGACTCTACAGTTAACATTTCCTCACTTCTACAGTCGCGGCAACTTCAGTGGAGACTCAACAGCTTGTGGGTTGTTCACAGTCTAAATATCCGATATCCTAAGAAGACACAGTTCATACCAGACAGAAGATAAGTCTGTCATGAGTGTTATTGCAAAGTTAATATTTCATAAGGTTGTAAGATACACAAAATTGCATCACTGCTATATATTCCCAAATTATAGGTCCGGGAGAAATACTGAGAGAAAGAAATTTAACGCTGGTCAACAAGGAATGGCGCTCCCAATACAGTAAAACGAATAACTTTCTATCTTAACAAAACTTAGAAAAATTGGTGTTTGATGCAAGCTTAGGAAAAAGTGGCATCCCTAAAATTTACACAGACAACACTTTAATGTTCTTGAAACGCGAGGTGATGGTCTATTGCTCCCGAGGTGTGGGGACGTTCCCGAGGCATGAGTGTGAGGACGCCCCCACACATCTAACACTGGATGAGAGACCCAACTCACCAATAGCATTGGTCTGTGATGTTGAGCTGTTACGGTCAACACTGAAAATTTCAAGATCAAATGGTTCTCTGCCCAAAAAAACCTTAATCCCAATCGCCTCCGAGGCATTACGGGCCTGAGCATTAAGGTTAGAGCCCATTAAAATTGGGATCCATTGGAATTAGTACTGGGACTGGGACCAAATATTACTAAGCTACAATCCCAATGGTTAGGTTAGGTTGTTAGCATTTAGGGCTGGGACCTGTTTGACGAATCAACGACTGTTGGACAGGACATGGTCTCCAAATCACGAAGCCGATTAGCTTATCACCTGTAAAGCAGGATAATGAAACTATGGCAGCATAGTGAGGGCCATTTTACCTCAGGGTAACAAGAGGTATCCAGGAGAGATACGGATGCCTCTAAAACAGGTGATTGTGATCACTGTACTTACTTGAATGGAAGAGGTGAGACTCTGACGGGAAGAAGGTGGGAGGAAGACTCCGATACCCTCAGAGACGGAGTGAGGAAAGGGGGGGGGGAGATTTTCATATAGACAACGATGGGACCACAGGCGACCACAAAGCCGGTGTTAGGACAAGGAGTGGGTTCGACGTCCGCGAGAACGAGTGGGAGGGATACCAACGTCCTCAAAGATAAAAGGGAGACGCGTAATGTTCCTTTAAAACTGCTGTGGGGTGTAAAGGACTCTAGACTAAGCTAATGATTAAAACGATGATAAATGAATATGATTATAAGGACGTACCCGAGTTATGGTGCGTTAAATTTCCCTCAAAGAGTTGTTTTAATTGACACTTACCTGGAAAAAAAAATTCCAATTGACATTACCTGTCATCTAACCCACCCCCGACAAAAAAACAAAAACACCCATATGATTATTCACACTTAACTCACATGAACAACTAAGGCAGATGATCTTAAGCATTAGTTTATGCCAAATGGATGACTAAGACAACTTGTTCAATGTCAAGAACACAACAGTATTATTAAGTAGTTACCTTGTGCTGGTGGTCGCGGAAGCTCTGACGTCGTTCAGGGTCACCTCCTGGCACCGTCTTGACACTTTTATGACACTTTATGACACTTGACAATACCCTGCTTTAATCCACGCCACATATTACAGCTTGCAATAGTTCATGACACTTCTCAACATTTTACGACATTAATGATAATTTTCAACACTTTACGAGACTTTAAAGCATTAATGACACTTTATTGACACTTTGGGATGTCACAGCACTTTATGAAATTTTTTTGCACCATATGACACTATTGTTTTATGTTGCTTGGAAAATTTATAACTATTTGAGACTTTATGACACTTTGACACCAGGATATTATGTCTTTTTACGGCACTTTAGAACACTGACACTTTAGGACACTTCATGTCATTTTAGGACTCTTTGACACCTTAAAATACTTCATGTCACTAGGAGAATTTAGGCCACTGACAATTTTGGATACTTTGACCATTTAGGACAGTTCATGACATCTCTGACATTTCATAGCCCTTTTTCATTGTGCAGCACATCTTACAACATTATACGACTCTTACTATACTTAATGGCACTTTATCAGAGCAACTGGCACCAAAAGCACCTTATAAAACTTTTGCATAATACATGAATCTTTGTGACATAACGTGACACTTTATGGCACTTTACGACACTTTATACCACTCTTATGACACGTATGGGTGTTTTTTGCGCCCACAATTACTTTGTGACACTAATAAGTCTTCAAGACACGAACACTTCACATTACCAATAAAATTTCATAAAACAAACACTTCATAAAAGAAACACTTCATAACATTTATAAACACTTTAAGTTACTTATGAATACGTAATGATACGCGTGATCACTTCCTAATACATATGGAATCTTTACGGCACTTAATAGAACTTTTTGAATCTTAAGACCACTTTGAAAAACTATTTTACAACAATTAAAAACTCTTGTGACTCTTACGAATACTTCATGACATTTACAAACACTTTAATACACTGACGAACACTTTACGATACTTTGTAAACCTAAGCCAATTTCAGTGTTTTCACCGGCTATTTGTTTGTCTATAATCCCTGGTATGCGTCCTTACTGCTACTAAGGCAAAGACTGAGCTTCGTAGTCCTGTGACTCCTGTCTTGTAAGAGGCCTTTGTTGACATTCTAGTAAATCTGAAACCGCAAAACGAAGCAGATTCAAGATTTGAGCGAACCGGCCAAATCTCGTCCCTGAGTTTGGTCGTGTTTTACTCATTCGTTTCTCCACACACATATAGCTTTAGAGATTTTTGTCTTTATCTGTTCTTATTATAAATTATAGGTAATGTACAGTAGTAGGCAAGATTATATGCCAATATTTTAGTTCGTACTATAAAGGCTCATTTTGGGATGATTGGGTCTGATGTATCGAGTATCGAAAAGCTGTTCCTGAACCCTGGAAACAAATACTTTGTCTCAAAGTGGTGTCAATCAACTGATGACAGAAAGTAACCATAATTGTTTATATTGTTTCCCCTCTTTATTTACTTAAAACACAAACATACAAACGTGAAACAAACGTAAAAAAAAATAACATTGTATTAAACAACATATAAGGATAGGACACATTCTAAATAGTTTTCTTTTGCCAAAAGTCAACACTTTCGAAGACGTGTGTTGTCTCGGGACGAAGCGCCTATCAAGAGAACGCGGGCCATTCCTTGTTGACCACCGTCAAAATTCTTTCTCTAAGCATTTCTCCCGGACCGATAGTTTGGGGAAATTTGGCAATGATAATATATATATATATATATATATATATATATATATATATATATATATATATATATATATATATATATATATATATATATATATATATATATATAAATATATTAGAGTATATATGTTCAAATGTAAATATAATACGTGCATGCGTTAAGAGTGCTCATGCCCATGTACAGAATATACGTACTGTATTAGTTTTATGTATGCGTGTGTGCAGTTTTAGGCACAATGTGTTCACGTGACTGTGTATTTGGACTCATGTGAAGGTACACATGCACGAACAACAGGTGTAAGTGCAATATTTGTGGAAGTCTGATAGGCAAGGAGAATAAATATTACAGTAGCTGGCCAGACCCGCCGGAACAATGCTGAGAATATATATGTCTATACAATATTTAGATACATTTATACACTATGTATAAAAATGAATATTAGTGTACCATGACAGAGTGTATCCTGTGCAAAGGTGAGAAGAAATGGACGAAAAGGAAAGAAATGTGCGTGTTTGAAATTTTTGAATGAATTACCACGAGAACAACCTAACCTAAAACTAACTTAATACTAATCTAACACTAACCTGACCTAACCAAACCTAACCTAAACTAATCAACCGTTACGTAATGTAATGTAACCTAACTTACCCTATCCTCCAGGTAGCGTCAAGGTATAGACTGTTAATCTATAGGTGAATTAAGACTTTGTAAGAAAAAAGGAGTAAACAAAAGGAGAATATAATTAAAATAAAAATAAATTAAGGAGAAAATGTAAGAAAAATAGAGCAAGAGAGAAACAAACAGACAAATCGGTATATATGTAGAGATTGATAGGTAAACGGACTGTCAGGAAGCGATATAGAGAGATAGAAAGAGATTGAGGAGTAATGATAAATCCAATACAACTGACGGGAGAGCGGTAGAGATTGTCTGACACTTAATAATTTATCATCGTTTTGATTGACGAGCACACCTGTCTTCCTGAACACCTGCACCTCCCAGCTGTTGCTACTTTTGTTGACGAGGGTGACGAGGGTAGTTGTTTGTTGACGAGGGTGTTAACAGTGATGTTGTTTCTGTTGACGAGGGTGACGAGGGTAGTTGTTTGTTGACGAGGGTGTTAACGGTGATGTTGTTTCTGTTGACGAGGGTGACGAGGGTAGTTGTTTGTTGACGAGGGTGTTAACGGTGATGTTGTTTCTGTTGACG